TGATTGTTCAATTTTTTGAGAGTTGAGAGAGGCTATTCTAAAGTCTTTATTGGTGATTGTTCAATTTTTTGAGAGTTGAGAGAGGCTATTCTTAAGTCTTTATTGGTGATTGTTCAATTTTTTGAGAGTTGAGAGAGACTATTCTAAAGTCTCTATTGGCATTGTTTTTGGTTTTGGTCACATGAGGCGGCCATATTGGCGCATAGTTAAGGAAACCTATATATTCAAGTTTTAATCATTAAAAAATTATAAATTTAATTCAAAAATATAATCACTTCCACATTAAGCTATTTATCATAACATATGGTAAACGATTTGAATTAATTAACAATAAAAACGATAATAAAGATTATACGAAACAACACACCTGACTTAGTTTCTAGAATCAAATCACAAAAATAGATGACCGATTTTTAAGAGGCGTTATTGAACTTGGTAATTTTTTGACCAATCGTACCTTATTCTCAGAAACGGGAATTCTTTAACTTAGCTAATCAGTAATAGTTAAAAAGACGGCTCGGACATATAGAAATAGAAAGTGAAATTTCTAATTTGAGGTATTCTTGAAGTATGCGATATTCGTAACATTACTAGTATTTCTGAAGACTAATGACATAAAATTATATTTAAAACTCTTCACTAGGGAATCTGTCCCTTTAAATATTAAATTCAGTATGTTTTTCTCCCTTTTTCCGAATTTTCAGAAAAGACCAGTTATCAATATGTCGTATGTGATCATTGGGGCTTTGTCGTCTGGAGCGGTGTAATTGAAAAGAGACAATGACGGCTCATCTGAATGACAGTATTCATTTTATCAGTATATCAATATTAATATATTTTAAATGGCCGAAATTTTATCAATGAGTCGGACGATTGACTTGTTTTAATTTCAGACTGCTGTTAGAGACTCAAACGTCATGCCCATGACTGTGTTTAATATTTAAAACATTCAGCCTCTTTCATCATAATTACATTTACATAAAGACTAACTTTCATTAATCAGCGACAGTCTGCATATGTGATATATGAATCTATATAGAATCGAGACAAAAACTGTCTGCAAGGTCAGTATTGATTAAAGTCTAGAGAATCCAATAAGCTTGAAATCTGTGGAATCAAATTGGTTTCATAGAAGAAAATTGATATAAAGGATGAGGCAAATATCAGGTTTGCTGGATTACATTCGAAACTGTTGAATATCTTGTGTGTTTGACACGTACTCTCTGAGAGGCAGCCATCAGAATGAATATTGGTCCGAATTCGATGCCAACTTACGTACATGTGCATGTAGTTTCCAAGAAGGTGACGAAGTCAATTGATTGACAATAAAGTAACTCCCCATGTCCCTACTTTGGCTCCGCCACTGTCAGAAAATTTGATATAAAAGAGCGAGGCATAAAATATTCCGCGACCCTCATTTAACAAGTAATTTAATTACATACCAAACCAACCGACATTTTACTAAGGTAGCACTGCTAAAATGGTTTTAAATTGTCAGATTCGCCACTTATTTTACCAATCGTACCTTAGTCTTCTGAAGTTTGGCTAAAAGATCCAAATCAACCCCCGAAAATGTCGAATCTGTCTCTTTGAGAAGATTCTGTATTAAAAAACTGCACTTTCAACAATTGTACTGAAATTGTTCGTAATTTAGTTCATTGAAACATTTTACGTCTATATTTTTGTATAATCTCTCATAAAAACTACAATAACAAAATATATGAAAAGGTTCAACATACACATTGTATACTGCTTACATTTTTGAATATATAAGAGGCTCATGGTTGAAAGTCCATCGTTTTGGAAGGGTAAAGATTAAATCTAAGTCTCTTGGGTTTATTTTCACTTTTTGGCGAACACGTTGTTTAAACAATAACTGAACAAATTAGCTCTACGCAAGAATATTTAAGAGAGGCTAAATAAAAAGTATCACTTTTAATTTTGTAAACATTGCATAATTATATAACAAAATGTTAAAGCCCATTGGTCGGGTATATTCTGCTATGTACGTCCATTCCCTTTTATACTAACATATCCCAATGCAATTATGTTGCATGTCGGGATAAGGGAAAGGAAGCTGTAAAATATAGAATTCGAACTGACCTTGCGTTTATCATAATTCATATGGTTTAAGTAAGGTTGAGCTTAAGTACATATATGTTATTTTGATATGTTAATTGGTGACCAAATTCAAAGTTCAAATTAAGGGCAGGAAGTCATCGACATTGTGACCTACTGACTTTTTGTATCATTGACTCGTAGTATATCAACTAGTGCCAAGCATTTCAAAAACCATTGTCGGGATGAAAAGTCAGCTAAAAAATTCCAGTTTCTGAGATCAAAGTAACCCGCTACTTTTGAATTGTGAATACATGAATACAAGAAAATCAAAATGTTGTTCGTTAGAGATATTTCTGTTTGAAAGCGTAACTTGCGAATGTTGATGGAACTAATTTAAAAGAAAACTGTATACAGTCACGAAGAGGACACAATTTTCATCGTTTAATTATCTCCAATCCAACATAGAATTAAAAAGAAAACAGGAAGCCAAGCGTTGTAGCTCTAGGCACTATGTGTTATTACTACTGAGATATAATTGGTTTGATGCTGTATTAATTCTCTACTGATATCAACCACCTGAACCTCTCTATGGTAGAGTATAAAAAGTGGAATAATCGACGAATATATTACTGATATTGAGAAGAAAATGATTAGTCTGACTAAAAATAAAACTGAACAAATTATTCGGTATATAACTGGAACAATTAACAGTAAAGTCTGATATTTTACTACCACTAAATTCTACTACTTATATCTGATATTTCAGTATCTCTAAGGTTTGATAGTTTACTACCGCTTATGTCTGATATTTAAATACCACTAAAGTCTGATATTTTACTACCACTTATGTCTGATATTTCAATACCACTAAAGTCTGATATTTTACTACCACTTATGTCTGATATTTCAACACCACTAAAGTCTGATATTTTACAACCACTTATGTCTGATATTTCAATACCACTAAAGTCTGATATTTTACTACCACTAAAGTCTGATATTTTACTATCACTTATGTCTGATATTTCAACACCACTAAAGTCTGATATTTTACAACCACTTATGTCTGATATTTCAACACCACTAAAGTCTGATATTTTACTACCACTTATGTCTGATATTTCAACACCACTAAAGTCTGATATTTTACTACCACTAAAGTCTGATATTTTACAACCACTTATGTCTGATATTTCAACACCACTAAAGTCTGATATTTTACTACCACTAAAGTCTGATATTTCAATACCACTAAAGTCTGATATTTTGCAACTGCTTATGTCTGATATTTCAATACCACTAAAGTCTGATATTTAACAACTACTTATGTCTGATATTTCAATAACACACTAAGTCTGATATTTTACTACTACTTTTGTCTGATATTTCAATACCACTAAAGTCTGATATCTTACTACCACTAAAGTCTGATATTTTACTGCCACTTATGTCTGATATTTCAATACCACTAAAATTTGATATTTACTACCACTTATGTCTACTACTACTTATGTCTGATATTTTACCACCACTAAAGTCTGATATTTAACAACTACTTATGTCTGATATTTCAATACCACTAAAGTCTGATATTTTACTACCGCTTATATCTGATATTTCAATACCACTTAAGTCTGATATTTTATTACTACTACTTATGTCTGATATTTCAGTACCCCTAAAGTCTGATATTTTACTACTACTTATGTCTGATATTTTACAACTACTTATGTCTGATATTTTACTACTACTTATGTCTGATATTTTACTACTGCTTGTGCCTGATATTTCAATACCACTAAAGTCTGGTACTTTACTACAACAAACTTCCGATCAGTAAGTCTGAAATATCATGATCATATGTCTGTTTTTTTTTATACAAGTTGACAACTAATCATTTGAACTCATATACCTAATATGATCACTAATAACATTTGGGTATTTTATGACCACACACAGCCTGACAGTTCCAAAACATTGTAGTGTGAGTTTGATATTTACTAATGTATGTCACCTTATCACAATTTATGTTTGAATGTGATAAACCAGAAATTAATCTGCAGCATTACATGGTCATAAGATGTCCTGATACCTAAAGATCACCGAAACCTAGGTAGCACGTTGAACATGATAAAATACTGATATCATAACCTTGAAGTATTAGATAGGACATTTCATGACCGATAAGATTATGAGTGGATTTCAAAACCCTTCAAAGATAATTCGATTCTATGATTACAAAAAAAATTCATTATGTCATAATCACAATCATTCTCATCAAGAAAGTTTTAGTGATCGAATAGGAAATTCAAGTATTAAATATTTGCGTTTTTATCAATGATTTCCTATTAGTCCTAAATGGTGTAGTGATTAGTGGTAGGTTATATTCATAGCCTTTTGGCGTCGTGTAGGGTATACACTATATAATGGTTTGACATTTAGTCACAATAACAAATGACTTTTTCTTGTCTGGAAGGTGATAAAATGATTCTCTAAGCAGTCTTTAGACAATATTGTCTGCGTCACAAGTTCAATCACATCATTGGATATTCATAGCTTATTTGAAATGGTTGAACAATCGTTATGAGATGTTTCAGTACAACAGGGTCGTAACCTTGAAACTTGTTTTTAGCGTTTATTTACTGATATATACTACTTACGTTGGACTTACACATTCAGCATTAAGTGGCATTAAAACATAGTTTCTGTGGTTAATTGGCATTAAAATATATGCATTATGAAATACAACAGGCTATCGTTGGTTATGATAACGCATGAGCCGAGCTAGTTAAAGGTAAACGTAAAGGTCAATAGGCATAAGGGATAATGGAAATGCCAACAGTGTATCTTTAAACGTCCACATGATAAGATTTGGATAGGAGAATTAGTCTAGCAAGAGATTTGATAACATGTTGATAGTTTAGCCAAATCGATTGAAACTTCCAGCTGCCTGTCTATATTAGAGCTATATAGTAAATCACGTGACTTGGGTAAGACGCGCTGGTCGACTGCAGTGGTTTAGCCAATATAACTGTATACATTAACTAGAATTTCTCAGGGGCGAGTTGTAGTTTCACAGATAATATATATGCAGTGTGCATGCTGTAGTGATCATTTTGAGTGCACAAACACGACTCGGCTAAATTAAACAAGATGGCCTCAAGAAACCAACAAACAGACGTAATAGTTGTTGGAGGTGGATTAAGTGGCTTGTCAGCTGCTAAATTACTCAAGGAAAAGGGACTAAGTGTTTTGTTGTTGGAGGCTCGTGACCGAGTTGGTGGCAGAACATTCACTATTCAAAACGACAACGTTAAATATGTGGACCTCGGAGGGTCCTATGTTGGTCCGACTCAAAACCGTGTGTTGCGGATGGCCAGGGAATTTGGTGTTAAAACATTTCTCACTAACGAAAAGGAAGATATTATTTATCATGTAAATGGCCGTAGCAGACGATTTAAAGGAACATTTCCCCCTGTCGGAGGATTCTTTGCATGGATGGATATGAACAATTTGTTTCGTACCATGGATAAAATGGGAGAAGAGATCCCTTTAAACGCTCCATGGAAAGCACCACATGCGGAAGAATGGGATAAACTGACAATGCAACAGTTTTATGATAAACATGTTTGGACAAAAGGAGCGTTGAATTTTGTTCAAGAATTTGTTCAGTTGAACGTTACAGCTGAGCCATACGAGTCATCTCTATTGTGGTTTTTATGGTATGTTGCTCAATGTGGTGGTACAGATAGAATTTTCTCTACGACAAATGGTGGACAGGAAAGGAAATTTGTTGGAGGATCACAACAAATCAGTATTGGTATCGCCGACAAATTAGGTGAAGATTGTGTATTGTTAGAAAGACCAGTTAGTAAAATACAACAAGATAAAAATGGTGTAATTGTTACAGACCACCATGGTAATAATTATAGTGGAAAGTATGTCATCATAGCTACCCCCCTTCCTCTTCAAAATAAGATTATGTATGAACCACCACTTCCTGGCTTACGTAACCAATTGATCCAGAGAATACCAATGGGTTCTGTTATTAAAACATTTATGTATTATAAAAGACCCTTCTGGAGAGAAAAGGGATTGTGTGGTTCTGCTGGAATTGATGATGAAGGTCAACCTATTGGATTTTGTTTAGATCACGTTCACCCTGATGGCACAAAACCTGCATTGATGGGATTTATTCTTGCTGATAAAGCTAGGAAATATATTGATATGACCAGAGAAGAAAGGAAAAATAAAATTGCTCAATTATATGCTAAAGTATTTGAGTGTGAAGAAGGTCTTCATCCAATCCATTATGAAGAAAAGAACTGGATGGAAGAACAGTGGTCTGGTGGATGTTATACAGTAATGATGCCACCTGGATTCCTGACTAATTTTGGTAAAGAAATCCGTCGCCCTGTTGGCAGATTGTATTTTGCTGGAACAGAAACTGCAATTCAGTGGTCAGGTTATATGGAGGGTGCCATTCAAGCCGGAGAGAGGTCTGCTCGTGAAATACTGTGTGCTATGGGTCGACTTCCGGCCAATCTGATTTATCAGGATGATCCTGAAGACCCAGAAGTCAAACCGAGGCCATTTGAAAAGACATTCTTGGAAAATTACGCCCCTTCTGTTCCAGGATTTTTACGTTTAATGACATTTACTACTGTAATGTCTGGTATTGCTGCTGGTGCTTTCTTTTACCATAAACATGTCAAGTAAACTGTGTTTTTATACCCTAACCAGTTTTTAACAAGTTTTCAATTTTATTTGTTCTAACAGATAGCCACTATAATATTGAACATTATATATTTGTAATTATATACGGAATTTGTAATAAAAGAATAAAAGTATGTGACAGCTTGCAGTAGCTTGATATCAATTGACACGCAGCGATACGATGGGGAAAAGTTACGGTTCTTTAGGTTTTGTCGACTTAATTAATCGTAATAAATAGTTATTAATTATTTTAATCAGCATTGCTTGATGTACAGGTTTGCCCAGTAAAGGTAAATTTAGCGGATCTCATAGAATTCATCGCAGCCGACATGTAATGAGCTAAGTATTATCGAGAAATTGATCTCATTTGTGTTCAGTTTGATTGTAGCAGCTTCCAACATGTCAGGCTGACGGAAAAAACCTCTATATTATGCCAGAAAGTAGAACATGGCCAAATTTTCAAGTTGAAGATCCTTTAGAATTAACCCATTGATTGATTATGTTCCCCCGGGTGCCAGTTGCTAGCTGTCGTTGAAGATCTACTGCCTGTCCCAAGGTAGAATCTGAGCTTCCTTTTGAAAAATCACATCTGTCACAATTTGTTTCATGTGAATATAAATTATATTACACTGTGATATATAATTGGTATATTATTGGTAGGTATAAAAACCAGGCCGATGAAATTAGTTTTCTAAAATAGCTCAACCCACAAAGCGATGAATAGTACGACAATACTCGGCGATATAAACACATGCAAAACAATGTCTAATTCGACACCTTAACCTTATTAAATGAAAGATATTGGTATGGAGCCGCTAACAATGGGAAAAGGTATGAATGATCAAGCAGTATTTGTCGGCATTAGTAGTGGAAGGGCAATAACTCACTTACAAAAATGTCTGTAATCCGCTAACTACATTAACTTCTAAATACTATCAGTCTAAAAACAGTCCTAACATACCATGATATAATGATCGCAAACACTTGCTTGAAATATTTATATTAATCTTACAATTCCTGTCTATAACTTAAGAATATAATCTCTTTACAAGACGATGTATCCATTAAACTAAATAATTATTGAAACACGCTTCTAAGTTAGTTATTTGATTTAGAGTGTATAGTTTTCACACCACTTGCAAATTTTAGTGTTGGACTTTTTGCCAGATCTAAGTAAGTGGTATTTGGGTGTATTGACACGAGCCTCGATGAAAGCACTGACCAAAGATGAGAGGCGTGGAGGGTTAAGTAGTGAGGAAGAATAAGTAGGAGAATGGAGAATAGTGTAGGTATTGCAGGTGGGGTAGTATGTTCATGGTATAAGTGCAAGGGCTTATTGGAGAATACTGTTTTATCAAGAGGCACACGTGCCTGCGAGTAACGCTGTACAGAACGGGTCAACGGGTCAACTGGTCAACTATTTATGTATTACTACTTATTGTTCTCAATTTGGATACAAGTGTCACTTGACATTTTTCTTCAATAACAAATCATCAGTAACAAATATTCAAATCTTGCCCAACAAATCTTGCCTAACATTTCTCGAAATACATTTCTTGAATATAAAAAGCGCCACCTGTCTTCATAATTGTGTGCATTGAAATTATGACGACAAGCGGCGCTGACCGTTGTTAGCTTATCTGATACAGGGCTAGGGATTAAGGATTAAAACGTCTTAATATTGGGCTGTTTGGTCTTCCATAAGTAACAACAACATGGTTAATATTAAGACGTCTTACTAGTAAGTATTTTATAGTAAATACAATCATTTACTGTAATAGTCTCAGATTTAGTATTGATAGTAATACAATCTAAAGCAGGCCTATTTATTGTATAAAGGTAAAAGCACAAAATAAATAAATAAATAAATAAAAATAATAATAAAAAAATAAAAAAAATAATAATAAATGAACGAATAAATAAATCAATAAATCAATCAGTCAAATTGATTGATTGATTGATTTTTTTTTTTTTATTTATTTTTATACAATCCTCTGATAATTCGAATTCACCAGACTAAATTACAAATTTTCAACAATATTTCTATATTATCTTGAAATGGATAAATTCTACGTGTAAATTTCAAGTTAAATACCACTGTTCAGTTTTTAGATTAAACCATGAATGATTAGAGGAAGAGTATATCTTTAAGTTAGAATACATAATATTTATAAACTAATGTTCAAACTCTTTGATTATAACATGTGAAAGCGTGCAATGGCCTGGAAGTCATTAATACTGAATAAATTATTATCATTATTATTATTATATAACAACGACTCAAACAAATGAATAGGTGGTAGGGACAATATTTATTTAGTTTTGCTGCCATTTGAGTTAAATAGATGTAAATATATATCAACTCTGTCTGATTGTCTACAACAGAATTAGCTCTGATATAAATAAATAAGTTGAATCAACAATATTTAGTTAGTTTTACTACCATGTCAGTTAAATAGATGTAAATGTATCAGTTGTTTTGAATGTAGATTATGACGCCAGAGTTCCTTAAGGCCAGTGGCCTCCAGAATGATGCCAACAGATTTCAGATGGCCTGAGATGAATTTTCAGCATTTGGAGGACTCAATATGCACTGCAAAGGCCAGAGGGGAGAGGCCTGACCCAGCCGCATACCTCCCAAATACTCCATCGGTCATGCATTGCATTGCAATCTCTTATTGTTGTGACAACCAACCAACTTTATGGGCTCCTTAAGTACCTGGTGGGTTGTTTTACGTGTAATATTCCACACACTTTGCATATAATTCTATTTGAATACTTCTACGGATGTCTGTGGTTCCCCCTCAATGATTTTACACTATATACACAGTTAGACATATCTCACAGGGGCGCGGTAATTAGGTCACAGGAAATTCGGTCGCCGGAATTTTGGTCACAGTAAAAATGTCACACGGTAATTTGGTCACAGTAATAAGGTCACATGGTAATTTGGTCACAGTAATAAGGTCACACGGTAATTTGGTCACAGTAAAAAGGTCACACGGTAATTTGGTCACAGTAAAAGGGTCACATGGTAATTTGGTCACAGTAATACATTCACACGGTAATTTGGTCACAGTAAAAAAGTCACACGGTAATTTGGTCACAGTAATAAGATCACACGGTAATTTGGTCACAGTAAAAGGGTCACATGGTAATTTGGTCACAGTAATACGGTCACACGGTAATTTGGTCACAGAAATATGGTCACACAGTGGTCTGGTCAAGGCAAAACTAGTAAAATGAAATTACTGGTAACTGGTGTAGTGATATTTATTTCATAATACATAATATAGTGTTCTGCTTGCCCTCTGCCAGAGATGGATGGACCTTGTGGGACCCTGAACGGTCGAACAGTATTTGGTATACCTGTCAATCTGCAGCTATATAGTTATTGCTGATACAACCCGCCATCGGTCTGCCTTTTAAGCTTGCAAGCCATACCACCGTTTAACTTTTGCCGACTCCCGCCATTCCAAATTACAGAATTCTCACTCACTGGATGCAGCCTGAGAAATCATCCAGTATTGACTTCAGCAATGAAGTTGATTTAATATGTATTTTATTTATAATCTCCACTACTCATAAATTTGCGTGCCTGTACCAATAACGTGAGCGTTTCAAAGCAGATTCTTTTCGATTTTCGGGTGGGGGTAGGGTGAGATGCTTTGCACGAATCTCACGTATCTGAAGGGCGCCCATCTCACCCTACCCGAAAATAGAAAAACGCTCAGGTCATTGGGACAGGCGTGGAAATTTACGAGCAACGGTGCTAATATATACGAGCGGATGCCCACAAGGCTATACGCACACCAGCAGCAAATCTCATCACTACTTCCATGTAGCCAATATACACAGGTAAACTAGGTTTCAATCGAATCAAAAAATTTGAATTAAAAGTCAATTTCAATAAATTTTGTGCAAAGTCGGGGGCCATAACTCGGAAGAAGTCAACGAAATCGGACATACATCAGTGGGTATTGAGATGCTACCAATATACACAAGCATACCAAGTTTCAATCAAATCCGATAAAAATTGTAGTTTCTATCTTCTTAAGAAGCCAATTTTAACGAATTTTGCGCTAAGTCAAGGGCAATAACCCGGAACAGGTCGGCGGAATCGGACATACATCTGTGTGTATTGAGATGCTACCAATATACACAAGCATACCAAGTTTCAGTCAAATCCGATAAGAATTGTAGTTTCTATCTTCTTAAAAAGCCAATTTTAACGCATTTTGCGCAAAGTCAAGGGCAATAACTCGGAACGCGTTCGATTTAATCGGACAGACATTAGAGGTTATCAAGATGATACCAAGCATACCAAGTTTCAATCAATTCCGATAAAAATTGTAGTCTCTGTACTCTGTAAGTCAATTTTAATGAATTTTACGCAAGGGCAATAACTCCGGAAGCCTTCACGGGAAAAAGCTGAAAATCGAAAGGAACCGAGATCTCATCAATACAGACATACATATCAAGTTTCATTCAAATCGGATAAAAATTGTAGTCCCCACCGTGTTCACAATCCAAATTTAACGCGTTTTGAGCGCGTCAAGGGCAATAACTCAGAAAGCGTCGGTCGGAAAATGCTGAATATCGAAAGGAACCGAGATCTCATGGATATACATACACATACCAAATTTCATCAAAATCCGATAAAAACTCTAGCCTCACAAGCAAATTGTGGACGAACCGACGGACGGACAGACGACAGGGGCAACGACAATATACGTCCACATTGTGATGTGGGTGTATAAAAATATGTATAGAAACAATAAATGACGCCGAGTGAAGCAGGCACGAAAAACTTTTGGGGAAATTCAATTAAATTCGGAGATTTAAAACGAGCCCTAAATTTTCAATGAAAAGCCCATGTTCCATTATACGTAGCTACTATGAATCGAGGGCTCCCAAGTATTTGATCCGTCGGGCCCAAGCATTTTCCAACCGGGCCCATAGAGTTCCTTCCTTGGGCCCCAGAGAGTAAATCTTGCCCTCAGGGGCCAGTTTCTCGAAATCTTAACATAAAAAAGTTGCAGATTTTAAGAAATGGGGTCATTTGATTGGTTGATAGTGCCATATTTAAGATCGATTTAGGGATTGACCAATCAGAGAACTAAAATACTAAAATTGTGTTCTCTGATTGGTCAATAACTAAAATTGATCTTAAATATGACATTATCAACCAATCAAACGACTCCATTTCTTAAAATCTGTAGTTTTTGTAAGTTATGATTTCTAGAAACTGGACCAAGGTCTTCAATTCTTAACGTTTTTATGCTTTTGCGGTTTGTCGCCAAGGAGGGCCCACATTCGCATACCGACGTTCCAGTGTGACCGTGTGACCCTTTTACTGTGACCGAATTACCGTGTGACCTTATTACTGTGACCAAATTACCATGTGACCGTATTACTGTGACCAAATTACCGTGTGACTTTTTTACTGTGACCAAATTACCGTGTGACCTTTTTACTGTGACCAAATTACTGTGTGACCTTATTACTGTGACCAAATTACCGTGTGACCTTTTTACTGTGACCAAATTTCCGGTGACCGATTTACCTGTGACCTAATTACCTACATTCATTTCATATTGCACAAACATCTTACATACCTCACAAAACTGTGATGTCAGCCATCCTCTGCCAATAAAAGCACAAGTTTTTTTTTTCATAAACAACTCCCATTTCAGTTCTTAAATATTCCAATATATTCAAAAGGCAATGAATACAAAACTTGTCTAAATTTCTAAAAGTAAATTTTACATTATCAGTTATAATTATAAAACAACAGGATACTCGCTACCATAAGTGCATAGCGCAATCTATACTATACTCTGATGCTAAAATTAAACAATACCCTTCAATATATTTTACAATAGTGATCGACGATCACATCTTCTTGCACTCAGATGAAGTAAATGGGGGTTACTTTGCCCAAATTCAAGCTCATTGGGAAGATTACTTGTTCAAATTCACCCAAAATGCAATGGAGGACTTTTTTCACATAACTGAAATTGAAAATAGATATAAATAAATAAACTAAGCACCAATGATCCAAACCACAAAACGAAACCCATTGGTAACAGCTTATAAACTTTTCACATGAGGAAGTATATCAACCATAAGTGATTAAGTATTTCATAATGAAAAGTAGTATCAGGTGTCTAGAAGAGTAAGCATACACAGCCTGGCGCCACACCTGTCATAGCTGCTCAAATCAAATGAAACATTTCAACCTTACTTCATTTTCAGTTAAAAAATAAAGCAAATAATTATATCATAATACACCTACCAAATCACAGCATCATAACATAAATACAATAACAAAATCTCATTTGATAAATGGAGAAAGCAATTTATCTAGATAATCCAACTAAGGACTGGGTCTTGTGTCAATCAAGGACAAAAGGAACTTTACTCTATGATTATCACAGTAACAGACGTTTGTACACTACATATTTCACACTTGATCTCTAGTTTGTATTAGTTTTAAAATTAATGTATAACCTAAAAACCCCATGGAATATAGATCAAAAAAGATCAGTTATCAAAAATTATCACAAAAATATGTCACAATCTATTCGACTTGGGTCATTTTGTATTATCAGTAACACTTATATTTGTATATCCTTGAATATACTGTCTACAGAATGGACAGTTTCTATCAAGTTTAGTGATAATAACATCAATACATTTTTCACATATTTCTCTATGACGACAAGGATAGATTTCTACATTATATTCAGCATCTTGGCAAATCTGGCATTCATTTTCCTCATTATATTCTTTCTTGGTTTTTCTTCGCCGTACAGCATTATTTCTGGATAACACTATAGCTGTGTGAGATACATCAGGTCCACCACCAGCAGAATGCTCCTGACTTCGAAAGCTTCTATAGGCATAGTAGATAGCTGCTATTCCTAAAGATAAGATAGGTAGAGCAAAATACGCTGGATGTACCATTGTTCTTTAGAAAGTTGTTATTAAACATCAGCAGTATTAAACTAAGCAGATCTTCCTTAAGGTAACATTTAATTTTCTAGCCTCATAGGCCTACCTCTCGAAATATGTTCTGATTTAACTGAAAATAAAAATCAATCAGACATGAAAACGTGTAAATGGGTGGGCTATCACCTTCAGTAGATGTATTATTCAGGAGGCCTAAGAATTGGTTTGTTTTTGGGATAGCCTTCCAAGCACTTTGAAGAATACTAATCACCATAATCATATTCTTCATGTAGAGTCAATACCCATAACCAGAGACCTAATTAATGGTAATATTTTTTTGTTACAGTATATTTCTGGCTATAGTGTCAATGCCCAAGCAGCACCAAAAGACATGTTGGTTAATTGCCCATACAATATAATAATCATGCAATATGCACATCAGGAATAGGATTTAAAAAAACTCTGGCTTGATCCAGCTATGCTAATGTTGACTTATATTAATTTTATAAATTAGACATTTTTTGCGACTTGTTAGTTTGAAGACCTGATCATTCTAAGACACTGATGTTAATGTCCATTACAGTAAATAAAAAACCACCAAAACAGACAATATTATTAATTGTTTATCTGTACGTGCGCTTTGTTTACACATTGACAAAATATGATTAGCTTGTTGCGTTAGCGCATTATTATAAATCACACCAGGCATAATACGACCTTTATAGTTGTACGGAGGGTAAACTATAAGGTTTGACTGATATACAAAGTAAGGCCATATTTCACGGTAGAGACTACAGCTTTAATAATGACAAATAATACCTAATCAATCGATAAATCATAGCAAAAACGTCTAATTAGTTCAGTAAATAAACTTTCGCTTTCTATTTCCTTCTAACGTCACCGGAAAACTTTTCAATTTTCAAGTCTGTGAAAGTGGTAGTTTCCGGTTTATTTCACGTGTGTTTATTTAATGAGTTTATTTGGCTAGATAACATTTTACAAACAATCTGAGACAAAATGGACGATGCTTCTGGTTTGCAATTAAACATCTTTTCAAGTGGAAAACTGAAAAAAAAATTTCGTCCAAAATACCACAGCAAGGTAAAATTTTGTATTACTTTTATGTTGTCCGTGTCTGAATTGCTTCAGACCACAATGATTGAATGTTCATCAAATGAATATCCTTCCCTTTCTGTTTCTCAAAGACCAGTAAAAAGTCTATTAAATGTCTGAGAGTTTGAAAGCAGTTGATTGGCAAATCATTACTTAAAGAGACAGAAACAGGAATTTGCCAGCTAAGCCATCAGTAATAGTGTAATTTGAGCCTTCAAATCCATGTGTGTCCAGAATTATCCGTGTTTGAATGTTAAAGTTACGACTTGTCAATTTAAGATAATCTGTGTTAAAGGTCTGCGTAGATATAAATAGTGATTAAAATTCATAGTTTGAAGTATTTTTGAAGGAATTATCCGATTTTCGTATATTTCTAAGAGACCTACTTTTGAAGACTCTTTACATTATTCAAGACTCAAATCAACCCCCTATATCGAACCTGTCCCTTTAATTTATTCAGAAAGAGAGAATCAAAGAAAAGAAAGTAGAGAAAAAAGCAGCTCCATTTTTAAAAGCAGTAAAAGTTCATCAAGAGAAAAATGAAATTCAGCAAGTGTCTTCAACTGATAATATTAAATCCAGACCCACTTTAAATGAAAGCATGTCAGAGGGAATAGAAAAGAAAAGAAATAAAGACCTTGACAGAAAAAGGAAAAGTAGTGAAAGAGAAAAGAACATAAAGGCATCTGAAGATGTGAGTTTTGATCACCGACCACCACCTGCTAAAATTCAGCGCACTGGGCCCTTTATATCTTCACTGTTTAAAAGTAATCCTGATATCCCGAAAGTTGATAGGTAAGGCACCTTATATAATCTTGAGATATTGAAAGTATTTGTGGTATTATATCAGAATATAAAGTCTGATACATGAAAGAGGACAAAAGCTACAGTTTACTTGTAACTACTATACAGACACATGTCAAACGTTTTAGAAGTTTGATGGTATTCCAATGATACAATGTTAGACTTTATTATTATTATGTATATTACTAAATCAATTTGAATGAAACTATTGAGACAGGAGCCCTCATTGTTTTTAACTTATATTTCAGTTCATCTGTTCAGACAATAAAAGAAGAAGTATTTACTTCTAAAAAGTTTGGCGATTTACCATTGAGTCCTAATATGGTAAGATTCTGTTATCATCAAGGATTTGACAAAAGGGTTATAAAATACTTTGTAAATTTTGGAGCAGGGCTGTTGATTTTAAAATCCCAACCAGATATTTTAATGTGTAAATGAAGAATTTGTATCAATTTTATATCACGAATTCATGAAAAATCCAGGTCCCATACGAAAAGTTTCATTTATTCTAAATATATTTGCATGTGGAAAATTAAAACAAAGCCTTTCAATTATTTCGCTCGAAATTATAGCTACTTATTTTTACTAATCTTATTTTGAATAAATATAGATAACTAACTTGGAAGATAGAATGAATATGAAGAATATGACCACAGTACAACAGTTAGCTATACCTAGAATATTACAAGGTCAAGATGCTCTAGTTAAATCTCAAACAGGTTCAGGTCAGTGTTTTATCTAATTGTTATGATTTTAGCAGACATGCCCAGTAGAAACCTCTGATGAAACTCTTTGACTTTGTCAACTGACTGACCCCATAGATAATATCAAAACATTTTTTAATATCAATTTTGCTACTGAAGGTGATACTGAAATGTAGTGTATGTTATTATTTATATTTAAGGTAAAACTCTGGCCTATGCTGTTCCTATTGTTCAGAAGTTACAAAGTATCACACCAAAAATAGATAGGTCACATGGTCCTTATGCTATAGTAGTTGTTCCCACTAGAGAGGTAGGCCAACCATCATATTATATTTAAGATTGTCTTTTCTGTAAGAACCTGACTTCCTCTTTGCAAATCGAATCAAATTTTTTTAGTGTTTACTATAATTTACCATTTCATTTGCCATTTATATGTTGTATATTTCTCTTTACAGCTAGCAACTCAGAGTTATGAAGTCTTTATGAAAGTGTGTAAGGTATGATTTGAATTTTGCTAACAAATTTACCATATTCTCTGAAGTTTTGTTTGTTTATATTGTAGTAGAATCTAAGTTTAATTGATTTTGTTGATTGTATACATGTATGTGAAATGATTGTGTACTCTTTAAGCTACAATTTACTTTTCAATTTCCAGCCCTTTGTATATGTGGTTCCTGGTTGTTTGATGGGGGGAGAAAAAAGAAAAGCAGAAAAAGCAAGGTAGATATTAACCTTACATAAATCTTTATGACAATGGTTAATAATTAATGAATGAGAACTGATAGGTATTTGGGCTGGGCAATATTAAAGTGAACATCATGATATTGGTATATATCACAATATTTCTTAAATATGGTTTTATTGGTTTTTATGTTCTGTTAGATAATTGTAAAAACCATAAATGCCTATAAAAAACAACATATTTGTAGAATAAGAAGAGGTATTAATGTATTAGTTGGTACACCAGGAAGATTGGTTGATCATCTACAGAATACACATGGTTTATCTGTTAAACATGTTCAATATTTGGTATTGGATGAGGCTGATAGGTGAGAATCTAATAACCTATCAATTAGAATTAGTCAGAAAAGAACAAAATTTAAGATTATTTTGAATTATTGTTGTGAATTCAACAAATTTTTCATATTTTTTTTGTATACATAGAGTCCTGTAGATCCAGCTTTTTGACTGCAAATTTAAGAGCTTTATATGACCAGCTTAATAAACAGCCTACTTGTATCTTTTTCTAGCTCTTTTGCTGGAAGCTGTAAGCCTAAACATGTTTGCACAATATATTATAAATGTTGTCATTGATTTAGATTGTTGGATATGGGATACGAAAAAGATGTAGCCCAGATTGTAAACTCATTGAATGATTATGGTGAAACAAAACGGCAAACCATTTTATTATCAGCCACATTGAGTGAAGGTTAGATATATTTTTACATTGCTATTATATTTTCTTTGAATGAAATAAATACTCTAATATTACTCTATTACATAATGTGTGATTGATAATAACCTCAGCTCACATAACAAATTTCTAAATTTAAATTCAGCTGATCTCTTTTACTCATGTAATTATTTTTTTGTAACTCAAGCTCATGTATCACTATCTGATTAGCTTATAATGATTCAAGTATCTTTATCTCTCAATGATTCAAGCTAATATATCACTATCTGGTGATGAATCAGACTCATGTATCACTATCTGATTATCTTATAATGATTCAAGCTCTTGTATCTTTATCTCTCAATGATTCAAGCTAATATATCACTATCTGGTGATGAATCAGACTCATGTATCACTATCTGGTGATGAATCAGACTCATGTATCACTATCTGGTGATGAATCACACTCATGTATCGAGCTCATGTATCACTGTCTGGTGATGAAGTGAGCTCATGTATCACTATCTAATTACCTTATAATAATTTAGGCTAATGTATCACTATCTAGTCATAATTCATGCTCATGTATCAATGTCTGGTGATGAATCAGGCTCATGTATCACTATCTGGTGATGAATTGGGCTCATGTATCACTATCTGGTGATGAATCGAGCTCATGTATCAATATCTGGTGATGAATCGGGCTCATGTATCACTATCTTACAATGATTCAAGGTAATGTATCACTATCTGGTGATGAATCAAGCTCATCTATCTTGTGATTATGTATAATTCATTACAGGTGTAGAAAGATTAGCAGGCATGTCACTATCAAATCAAGCTCATGTATCAGTGTCTATTGATTATGTATAATTCATTACAGGTGTAGAAAGATTAGCAGGCATGTCACTATCAAATCAAGCTCATGTATCAGTGTCTAGTGATTATTTTATAATTCATTACAGGTGTAGAAAGATTAGCAGGCATGTCACTATCAAATCAAGCTCATGTATCAGTGTCTAGTGATTATTTTATAATTCATTACAGGTGTAGAAAGATTAGCAGGCATGTCACTATCAAATCAAGCTCATGTATCAGTGTCTAGTGATTATTTTATAATTCATTACAGGTGTAGAAAGATTAGCAGGCATGTCACTATCAAATCAAGCTCATGTATCAGTGTCTAGTGATTATTTTATAATTCATTACAGGTGTAGAAAGATAAGCAGGCATGTCACTATCAAATCAAGCTCATGTATCAGTGTCTAGTGATTATTTTATAATTCATTACAGGTATAGAAAGATTAGCAGGCATGTCACTATCAAATCAAGCTCATGTATCAGTGTCTAGTGATTATTTTATAATTCATTACAGGTGTAGAAAGATTAGCAGGCATGTCACTATCAAATCAAGCTCATGTATCAGTGTCTAGTGATTGTTTTATAATTCATTACAGGTGTAGAAAGATTAGCAGGCATGTCATTATCAAATCCAGCTCATGTATCAGTTTCTAGTGATGATGTTGATCATGATGATAACATAGATTCAGGAATAGAAAACGATAAAAACGAACCTAAAGAAAGTTTTGCTGTACCACAAGAATTAAAACAGCATTTTGTTATTACACCTTGTAAATTAAGATTAGTAACTCTGGTTGCTTTTATTCTTTCTAAATGTCGGGTAAGTATTGAATAATTTAAAATTTGATTAGCCATAGCCAATGTGTCATTGTTTTGCTATGATGAATCTCCTGCTGAAAGGAGTTTTTTATTTAGTCATTCCTTGTATGATACATTTACTTATATCAGTGTCTTTGATTGTTTCTTGCTCTGTAACTCTAGGAAGATTTTTTGAGTTATTAATAAATGTATTTTCTTTCCATTACAGTTAAATAAAAATAAAAGTAAAATGATAGTATTTTTATCAACTCAAGATTCAGTTGAATTTCATCATAAATTAATCAGTGATATATTCTGTAAAACCAAGAAAAAGAAAGTAAAATCTAGTAAAATAGAGGATATAGTTGATTCAGAATCTGAGTCAGATGAAGAAACTGATATGAAATCTTTAAAATTTGATTTATTTAAACTACATGGTGATATGGCTCAAAAGGTGAGACGTTATTCTGGAATATATATATATATAAAAAAAAAGTATTACAATAACAAAATATTGTCACTGTTAAAATACAATTCAATACATCAATCATAGAGCAATATGAAAATGTTAAATACATGTAGTGGTAAAAATTCAGTAGGGATGTAGGCTGAAACAGGTCAGATCACATATCGTGAAATTTCTGAGTAACAACATGTTTCTAAATCAATTTTTATCCATATGACATTATGATATCAGTCTATGTCAAATCCTGTTCCATTTCTAACTGCCGTTCTTTTAAAATGCTCAGAAGTACAATACAATACTGGCAGATATTAATGTTATAAATATATGTTGTTATTTATCTTGTCTAACTAGGAAAGAAATGAAGTCTTTAAGAAGTTTAGTGAAATTAGTTCTGGTGTTTTGTTATGTACAGTAAGTATTACTTTAGAAAAGTGTTCAAAAATCCTCCCTCCTCCTAAAAAATCCTTTAAACAAAAAATAAAACATTATACAGAATACTATTATATAATATTGTAAGTTATACTGTAGTTATAGTAATGTGTGTTCCAGGATGTTGCAGCTCGTGGTTTAGATCTACCACAAGTTAGTTGGATTGTACAATATACTACTCCTGGTCAGACATCAGACTACATTCATCGTGTAGGTCGTACAGCTAGAGTTGGTTCACAAGGACAATCATTACTATTTCTTATACCATCAGAGGTTAATTATATCAAACAACTTAATGATAAACATATAAGGTTAGTTTTATACCATCATTTAAATGCTGAGATCAATTTAAACTAAACTTTGTGATTACTTTAACTATGCCAGGTCACATTTTATGACATTTGTAGAATGTTAAGATAAGTCTACCGTTATAAGGATTTGAGGCAGTTTTTGGGAAACAGTTATGTGAATATTTACTAGTAGATAAAGATCAATTTAAATAAAAAAAACTTTATATTGTGCTGTGCAAACAGTTTGTTAAACTTTGTTTATGTGATAAAGTTTACTAGCATAGGTGACAACAGTCTATATATCAAGACCTCTATAAACAATCTAATGTGTAAATTGAACATATCACTGATATTTATTGAAATGTTTATGATCATTTTTCAGTTTAAAAGAAATGCAAATGAAGAACATATTAGAATCATTAATGACTGTAATAGAATATATCAAATTTCCTGAAGAAAACAAGGTAAGTTATGGAAATTTTGTAAAATGATACTACTTTTAAATCTGTAGGGAAGGAAAACAAATTTGTCTATTATCCCTGAGAAAAATTTGGATGTGATATGTTCACAGAGTTAGGTGATATTTTGTGTACTCTCTGAGAAAATTGAAAGAATATTAATAGTTATTTATGTATAGTTGACATAAGTCTCACAATTTGTTTAGAAAGCCTGAATAATTTGATATTGAGCAGATCACATCTGATAAGTAATTTATTACTATTTAATATTTAGAGACAGAAACCTAGAATGTGGGAAGAAGCAGCTACTGCTGTACATCAGTTATTTGAGATGTATGTAGCTAAACATCCTAGTATGACAGAATTATCTAGAAGAGGTATTTGTGTGATAATTTAAATAGCATTATGTTCAAATGTTGAGTGCATCTCGAAGAGGAGTATTCTCTTACATTCATTATATAATGCAATTATTATGACCTAGGGCACATTCTTACTTTCATGTAGCATGTTCTAATTGAATCAGTCTCAGTTGAAAGTCTCAGTTGAAAAGAGATCACACAATTTAGGATGGCCTCTACTGGAGTTAAACAGCCTTGAAACACGTGGGTGACTTCAGACGGAAACATGAAAAATAACATCTTAGGAGATTCAAAGATTTTGGGGTACCTTTAACAAAACGTCTAGAATGTCTTGTTGAATACTGGTTTTGTCCTGATATAAATTTGGACATATATTAAGATTTATTTAAAGGCATTGATATCTTTATTTTATTTCAGCTTACCAATCATTTATTAGAGCTTATGCTACCTATCCTAGTCATATGAAACATATATTCTCTATAAAGAAGGTACATCTAGGTCATTTAGCTAAGAGTTTCGCTTTACGTGAAGCACCTGGTTCTATTGGTGTGGTACAAGCTAAGAAATATCAGGAAGATCATGCTCAAGATAAGAAAGACAATAGGTATGTTATAAGTATATTGAAGAAATTTTGACTTTTACCAACATTGAAATATTAACTGTGTATTCTAAAACATGTATGACATTTTTTTTTATTGAAATTGCCTTTTGAAGATTTATGAACTATTTCCAGTTCAGTTCTACATGTTATGTCTTTGTTTGAGTTCAATCTAGATATATCAGCAAAACTACACTTCTAAAAACCTTGAGATGGGGTTTGTCATCTTTTTTTTCAATTTCACTGAATTATGATGTTTTCATTTAGCTTTTAGCAGTCATTCTGATTTCAACAAACATAACATAAATGTTTTATTTTTCTTTATTATAGATATGTCAAGAAGAAATCTAGAAATGTGATGTCTGAATTTTCTAGTGGATTGGGATCTGAATTAGGTGTTACACCAAGACATAGAAATATACAAAAAAAGTTAGCTCATAAAAAACTTGTAAATGAAAGGAAACAAGCCAAAAAATTAGCGAAGAAGAAGAATAAAATTTCTGCCAAATAAATAAAGATTATTTTGAAAAATATCTTTATTCTTTTGTGTTTTGATTTCATAAGCTATTTTATGTCTGGATGATGCATTAAATGACAACAATAAAACTATTTGTCCATCTTTCCCTATGTATGTTAATGTAGACAAACCTTCATAATTCATTGTTCGTTTGGCCATACATGTAATGTTAGATACTGTAAGTAACAAAGATGATGCAAGTCTTAGTTTAGCTCCAGACAACCACATCACTCAGAATAACTTTTTTATGAACAAGAATCATCATGGTCTTTAAAAGGAACATCTATTTTAGTAACTGGAACACCTTCCCAGTTGCCCTGTAATTACACATTTTTTAATAGAAGGTTAACGGTTACAAAATGAATGCCGCTGGTTGTGATTCATAACAGATAACAGATCATGAAGTGTTTAAATCGGTTAATGAATGAAAACGTGTTATAAATTACTTATAACATGATTGACAAAGGTCTGGCAGATGGGGAAGTGGCCTTCTTATTATGTAATAAAATAGGGCTAGTAAAATGTCAGCAAAGATCTGTGTAGTAACCTTAGGTCACTCTTTTCTATTTACACATTATACCACAGCTAAGCACCACCCACTAGTTTATACGAGGAAAAGATGTAAGGGAATTGTCGAAATCATGTTATAATTTTATGTAAATATTTTGTTTCACGATTTCCATGTCTCTAAATTACCGTGGAATTGTGAACATATTAAATGTATATGTTGTAAAAAAACTACTAACTGGAAACCTATGACCATCAGATTGGTTACACTGCATTGATATGGGTGATGTCTGATAAACATAGTCTAATAGATGGACATTAATAGGTAACCATGGTATACTGTTATAGTTATACTTAATACCTTCATTAATCACTATATCTACACTTTCCATTCTATAAAATAAATAACATCAATACCAGTTATTTCAGAATTTGGGCTTGAAACTGCGCTTTTGTGCTGAGTTTCTACGAATTCTAAACCATTCTGTTGCAAGAAAATTTTGACGTGGCATTAGTCTACTCGCTCTGATTCGGAACTGTTGAGAAGTGTTACATACCATGTAGCACACGTGGCTCATATCATTGCCTCCAGCAAAAGACTGGTTTCGATGTTACCTCAAACCTTCATCACTTTCGGGGGAAATGGACTGATAAGTTAGAATGTGCTATATCAAAGAAATACTTCGCTGCTTCCTTACAATACCATACGAAACGCCCTAAAACGATTTGTTGGGCTCTTTTCACGAGTGTGCCGGGGTCTAAACTTCCATTTCGATAGGATTGTTCCGCTTGAGTCTCGATTTGCTAACATGACTACCACAATCTGCTTCCCTAAATTGAGATGATCTGGTACTTAAAGATGCTTTCCAATCCCTTGATAAAGAACCGATGAGCTCTGTTACGGTATGATTCATTTCGCGGTCGTAATCGAGTTTGATCCGATCTGAGCTAGTCTCCGACTGGTATATCAGCAGCTGGACTGAACATTGACTCATTATCACCGGGTTTTAAGAACATGATTTCAATTCGCAATTCCATATTGTGGGGGAACCTAGCATGCAGAAATGGTAATAATTATTATTTACCTCTTCATAAAATAAAAGAAGTTATATAGACTGTCATAACTGATAGAACTTTTACAAACTTCCAAATTTACTTTAGGATAATAATGTATATAATTTACACACATTTCTTCTGTGATCGAAAATCCACCCTGAAATTATAATAATAATAAACATATACTTATATAATGGTTTCAAATAATTTTTAAACAATACTTGTTAGCAAATGGTATAAATATAAAATAGATGATGTTCGGAGCGATCGCATCAACACTGGGATGTTATATTCTAATGTTCTCTGCAATTTTCTCTGCTATATGTGGCACCTTCGCATATTATATTTTGGATGGGTTATAATATAATAGAAGCAACTTACAAATGTTACGTTTCTTCTATCAACAGTACTGTCTTCGCATTCAGTAATTAACGCATCACCTGGTAATATATTGATTGGTCTTCGGAGAACTCGAACTTCCTGGAAATGTGGACTATAATGGTTGTCACGATTGACCTCTGGTAGTTCCAACCCATTCCGAACATGTTTCGTCCAAACTCTTTTACCTGTTAGATGTGTGTGTAATTGTGATGCAAAAATATTGATTCCATCCTTAGGTAACGCCTGTAAATATTGAAGGTCAAAATAAATAATCAGTTGGATTCTTCAGCGATGTTCATTGCTTTAGATAGGGGAGGTTAACTTTTTAAATTAGAATAGAATCACTGGATAGGAGGGAACGAGAATATCCCGCAATTAGCGACCCTTGACTAATACATAATACACAAGATGCACTGCTGATATATTAAATCTTCATAATATACAGGTATAGTCTAATATAATATATATTGGTACCGTAGCATTCCAACTAAAATGAATAAAGAACACAAGTAATAACGGTCCGAACATCAAACCAAACTCGAAATCCAGAATATCATTTTGGCAATACATTGGTAGCGGCTTATGATCTTTTCACAAAGTAGTATATAAATCATAAATGAGGGAAGTTTTTCATAATGAAAGTGGCATCAGGCGTCCAGAAGAGTACGATTTGATATAATGGTATAATTATATTCACTGTAACTGTTTGATTCGCAAAAAGAACAACTTACCATCTGAGTACAATCAGCTATACAGTAACCAGACAGAGTAAATCTATCTTCTCCTGGTGGTATGACCATTTTATCAGTGTACTCTAATCCTAGTTCCATTATACCCATATCATACTGTCTTAATGTTGGTGTTACGTAGAATCTTATACCAGAACTGTCCACGTGACCTAGAGGAAACGAAAAATACACAGAATGCACAAAGCTTTTAGCAGGCGAAGGAATTCAAGAGACACAGGTTTTAGCAACACAACAACAAAACAAACTATACCAACCAAAATGATATTTTCGATAGTGACGATATTAAAGGAACCACACAAGTCAAACATGATATCGCAATGGAAGTCACAAATGTCCTCAATTAACTTTCGAATATAAAAACTTCACGAATCTTCTTCATGTTCTTGTCAACTGCTTTTCATGGTAGTCAATGCACAAAGTCCTCGCATTGCTAAAATCAGGAATCAAGAAACCATTTCCGACAATTTGAGGTTTAGTTCTTTTGTTACAGTTTTACGTTTAAGAGTTGTGCCATAGATCTTCCAATTATTATAACTACTGTAATTCGGTTCAATTCCATATCATTGACTTCATATTTGTAATGTCTCTTCAAACTGTTTTAAACGATATAAACTTTACTATTGATTTTTACATTGGTATGAAAATTGTCATGTCTTTCAGAATGAATTTGAGCGCATAAATCAATGTGAAAACAATAAATATTGAATCAAATTTACCTGTCTGTAAATGTGGGTTATGGAAATGAACTTCAAGTAACACATAATGAGAAAAATCTTTACCACCAATTGGCGAACCAGCTTCTTCTGGGTAAATTATGGGCTGTAAAACAACAACATCAAATGCTGTACGGAGTGAGAAAAAAACACCGATGATGTACACGATCAATGGTAACACGTTCTCTTGTATCTGTGCTACCATTTGATACATTGTCAAGCTTCTTGACATTAATATCTCTCAAAATACCCAGAAGTTTTGCAAGGAATACAAACCTCTGCTCCCATGGCCCAGGCTCCCATAACATTTTTACATCTAGCCAAATCGGAATTAGGATCCATTTTACCCTCGGGTACTTTAGGACCACTGTATGGTTTGACGGGATTATTACCAAAACAATGGAAAACTTCTATATGATGTACAATTCCTTCATTTTCTTTTTGTATAATACCTTCATACTGAAAAGTAAATAAAAGCAATTGTTTACGATACCTTATCATGAATAGCAGGTCCCATTTTTGGAAAAAAAACTTAAGCAGGAAAGGAAACACTGGTTTTGGTTAGGCCTACTACAAGGAGTCTCAAGGCTAACCGGAATAGGTTGACGGTAATGATGAAAAATGCTGGTCTGAATTCTAAAAATTTCAAACATTAACTATAGGCGATTTAGAATATTCACCATGTCAGAAGTTTAGATGTCTTACCCTTACGATATGTTGTTTGTGGTTTAATTTTGGTAATGTTGTTATATACCACCAATATGTTGTTTCCACCCCAGGAACATGGACCTGATAAAGATAAAAAAAAAAAAGGTACAATGTATAATGTGGCCTCAGTTCAGCCTGCTAGACTTCATTAAAAATTAAGAAAATCTGTACTGCTCTGTATGTAAGACAGTTTCAAATCCTATCACACCACAAATAAGCACTTCTAGTAAATGCTGCAGTGAGATTTGCAAATCTCTTTGGGGAACTGAATGCAGTTAAAGAGGTCCTGGGTCATTTCTTACAACCCCGGCTTTTGTGCTGACACTTACCTTTGGTGCTGTAATGTCAAATGTCCACACATCACTAGGAAGTGAAGGTAGATTAACATCAGGTTTTAACAACTGAACACGTTGAAATCCATGGCGCAGTTGTCGAACATCTTTACCAATACATGATGATGGTGTTCCTTTAGAGGTAAAATATACAACATGTGTCGTTCCATTCTGAAAAGTGTATAATGCGTTTAAGTATGCTAATGATCAATTTCCCTGTTTATAACATTGTTGACTTTCACTAAATATTTTCTATATCGTCCTTAGATATATAACAAAAACGCCCCTGTACAAAAAAAAACTGTATTTTTGTAACACAACTAGCAAACCTTCTTACTTACATCTAACAAATAATCGTGGTCGTCACAACTATCAAATGGTCTAGAAAATTCAAGAATAGATAATCCATGTTCAGTTCTAGCTTTATTCAGATAATAATCTTGAGATTTATCAGAATGAAGAGCCCCTTTGTCATCAGTCCAAGAGTCCTGAAACAAAAAAATGTCATTGACATCGTAGTTGAAAAAAGCAGCTTTTAATGCATGTGTTATATATGTTCATAGGCATGCCAATCAGTTGACTTCTGCTCACCTGTAAATGGTGCGTCTTTACAGGATCATTCCAAAACACTACAAAATCAGCGTTCGTCACTTCTCCATAACCAGAAAATCCCACTCCAAACCAATAATCAGGTGGAAGTTGACAGGTGATTCTAAATGACACAGTTTTATTTTCATAAAATACATTCCAACACAACATCAATTTGGATTTCATATCCAGCATCACATGGTATTTATATCCTTCCATCAACCGTTTCATTTTATCCATGTCCATATTATCCATATTTCCATTATCCTTTTCAGAGTTCATACTCATTGACATTCCCATGGCATCATCATCGCCCCTCTTCTGGATAGGATCTTTATTGGCGGAATCTTCTCCGAATATGTCTGCTGTCCACATGTGATGATCTTGTTTTACCACATCTTCAGTGTCGCCAACTGTACTCAAGCTGTTGTAAATGAAATCTAATATGTTCTGTTCATCTGCTGGGGATAGGTGTGTCTTGCTTTGTGCTCGAGTAACGTCGAAACCAATGTTTTTGTCAGTAGGAAGACTTTCATACCCATGTTTTTGTCTTTCAAGCGAGACGTTCTGGAACGATTTTTGTTTAACCTCTTTATTGAGCTTTTGGAGCACTTTCTTTAGAGCTTTCTTTTTCGAACTGATTTTATTATCCACCAGGGTTTTCTTGGCCGTGGAATTTTGTTTTCCCTTAAATTCAGTTTTGATAGGCTTTGTAAGGTGCTGATGATGTTCGTTTTCCATAAGGTCTGGGCTAGGAGATACTGTTGCACTTTGATCCACGACATGGTTGGCATGATCTTTCCAACTCATTGATTTTAAAGTTTTAACATTTTCTAGGTGTCTTAAACCAGGACTTAACCGTTTAAACTCATCATATTTTGATTTTGTATCCAGAGTTGGGTTCAAATTCTTTAAATCAAACCTTTCAAAGTCGGTATTATCAACCACAGTTCTATCCATCCATCGAGTCATTCTCTCATGTTCAGGAAAATTAGTTTTTCGATTACTGATATCAAATAGAAATCTTTTCTTGGCATTATTCAAATCTTTCAGAACCTCACGACTAGTTTCTGCATCACTCTCCAATTTTCTGTAATAATTGCCCAATGGTCTGATATGATGACGACTCAAATCGACTTTGGTTTTAGCAAACCAATTCTTTAGTGTCTTGGGATATCTTTGTCGTAAAATGACCCAATCTAAGTCATTTTCAAAGGGTATAGCAAATACACAGGGTAAAAAGAAAACGTATATCGACAGTTGCATTGTTGAATGAACCATGTGAACTCAAAATATATCTAAAAAGAGTTTTTCTAAAAATGTTAATTTTTGTTACTCACTAACAAGATCCAATAAATAATATTTATATGTACATTTATATCCGTTTCACTCCAATGATTTTAATAGAAAAAATGAATTTTTAACAGGTCTGTGTCTTATCCTATAACTTGCAGCAAGACATTCCACAATTTAATCATTCAAAAATCTGCATCTTAATAGATTCACATGCCTTCGATGTCCCTGGTACAATGTTAGACAACCGTCATCTGAGAAGTTGTTGGTTGATTTAAGATTACGTGGAGATTTCATTATCCCACTTGTGAAGCGAGTGTTTAGGAATGACAAAGATAATCCAATCAGAAAGACTGACTCTTGTCAATTGCTCTCCAATTATCATGTATTATTTATAAGATGAAGTCTGTTATGGTATTGTGTGATCTTTGATTAATTTTCTTATAGCTATACCATATTGGATCATATAGATTATTAATTGGTTTTTATCTATACCCTGATTATCATGGTACATTATTTTAATAGAGCTGAATAACATTCCAGATACTTCTGGTAGCCCTAGGGGTTTAAAAAAAATAAAAGGTTTACATGAGTAGTTAAAATCAAAATTCAATTTTGTAATCCCGAAACATGATCAACTGCCATACTATTGTATTTAATAATGGATATTTATTTTAGTTTATCATCCTTAAAGGGACAGATCCGTCATTTTTTTTTTACCTTAGTCTCAGAAACGGGATTTTTTTTTTGCTAAACTAGTCAGTAAAAGACCCTTCAAATCCATGTGTTTTCAGGATTATCCGCGTTGGAAAGTTACAAAGACGAGTCGTCTTTTTAACTCTCTTTAGCATGTATGTATGAAAGGTAATATGGAAATAGTACGTGTTATGATCCGATTTGATACTTGCTATACGAGTAGATTTTATATTATTGTTTTTAGTTTGTTGGTTGATGCTCTTAATTTTAATATGTCAAATTGATTTAAATTTGTTGAATCTTGGTATGGTAGTGAATTTATCGCGATATCAGTAATTGCCCATGACCATGTTCATATTGATGAGGTGAGAAGGTAAAGGTTGCACTTTTGAAAAGTTAAATTACAATGAACATTACTGTTGTGTGGGCGTCAAGTCCTACTATTGAATAGGTTTATACAAATCGGTCTCATAATCAGTAGTTTGGTCAATGACAGTTTTAAAATACTATTATAAGAAGAATTTAATGATTTGGAGATCAACTGTGAAATATTGAAGTAACATATAATAATATTGATTGATATACAAATTGTGTATATAAGACATATAATTAACTGATGATTATAAATAAACAAAAACGTAGGCTGTACAGTTTGAACTCTGGCATTCCGAGTTTACTTCATCGCTTCATACTTTAACACGATGGGGGGAGTATACCTTCTATATTCTTATTGGCAATTCTGTACTGTATTTCATTAAAAACACTAACATTTGTATAGTAAGAAAGTTAATCGACCTCTCTACCAATTGGCACAGGACACCAAGAACAGAACTAATTTCCACCATAAGTGTATGAAATATAACCAAATAATAGTTATCTCTTAGTTGGTTCCGTATACAAAAATTTGAGGAATATTTACCAATGAAGTCTTAAGTTGAAAACGTTGTTAAGAAAAATATGGTGAAAAATATCAACTTGCACAAAATTTCATTGGGAATATTTCATTGATTCGTATTTCATGTTGTGTTCTTGGTAGTATAAAAATGTTTTACAAAGATATCACTCTTTGAAATTATTGTTTTGTATTAGGACAATCAGTTTATAAACAGCAGAAAGATAGGCTGTAAAACTTCATTCTATTTCTTATTGATTAAGGGTTCTATTTAATGGTCAATTATATGAATAATAGATATAGATTTATGTAGATATTATAAATATAAACAACTCAGATACCCTCTTATTAATAATGCTGCGGTATATAGAATTCTTCTTCCAAAATCGAATATGTTAACTCGAGATATATTCTGACATACTATTTTAGGGAACTGATTATAAATATGTAAATTGAAGTCGTTTACAGATCTCATCAAATCACTTGTTATAGATTTATTTGTGCAAACGACATTCAAGTTGTTCTTGATGGCCGTCATTCAATTGAAAAGGAATTAGTTTTCTATGCTTTACTACCAACCAACTGACGTCTGTTCATTTTAAACACGCGCTAAGAACGTGAGGCTTATTTCCGGGAGTTTTCATTTATTTATTCAATCCATTGCTGACTAGTTCAATCATTTCCGGTATATTAATCTGAAGGAAATAAATGGAATCTCCGATTTGACTCTATGCTCTGCCCATTGACACAACAGTTTGTGGAATCCATAATCAGAAAAAGGACAAACAATCAATCTAAATGCAAAGTGCAACCTTCATAGTATCGTAACGAAGTTATTCTTGGTTCACAGCCGATTCAATGCGCTTAACTTGTGACCCTTTGCTATAAAGATGGAACCTTTGATAAAAACTATGTGTAAATGGCAGCACTAGCTATGGCTGTTCCTGCAGATACATTGCTTACAGCAATAGCAGTGGCATTTTCATCCCCCCCCCCCCCCCCCATTAAGAAAATTGCATTGTAGACCTACCCCAAATTCATTATTAACCAGTTTTAAATCAGTTCTATTTTTCAAACATTTTCGTTGAGGAGAACCATAACTAATATTTCATCATTAATTTTTGATCGGAGGTTTTCCTTAGATAAAACTTCACGCAGAGTTGTCCAAGTGTCTGGACATTATTCACTACCAGGTAACTCGTCTTCTATTCTAAACACAGCACACTTACCGTCAAAAGATAAGGTGGACTTATTATAATATCATAATAGTTGGGCCTCTATTATGAAAGATAACGGAACCAGCGGGGGATTAATTGACTGTGTTTTGTAGCTAGAATTCATAAAATGTAGTTGCCTCCCTTATACCATTAATATTTCCCTTGAAATCACGTGATCCATGGAGGCGGAACTGTAAATGTTTACATTTTATTTTGACAGAAGAAAGGCCACAATCATCTGTAAGAAAACTAAAATGCCGATCTTAACTTGAAAATAAACAACAGATGAGCATCGAGCTACACAAAACTAATTAGAGCAGTATTTTCCAAAGGACATTTGAAAAAAAGGTAATTAATCCATAAGGTCTACTCAGCCTCTATAAAGGCTCTGGTCTACTGTGTAAATGTGTATGGTGTTTTAATTAGTCCAAGTATTCTGACCTTATCTATGGACTACCCAAGACGACAAACCTTCAAAATCATCAGTCGGAGCTTGTAGATAGTTCAGAGACTATATTCTAGTGGGCCATCAACAGAGATCTGCATTATAACCCATTAGCCTACTAATAGTCCTACTACTGTCACTATCACCAATGTGTTTAGTTTAAGCCAGGTCAGAACTATAGGCTACATATGCACACTCATGTCTTGTGAAGATTTCGGTAACTACTGACTGCTAATTATTTAGTGCTGGACAAAATGATTTAAATAATCGATTATCGTCGCAAGGAATTTATAATTTCAATTATCGATTATAAAAACCTTTTTGTTTTTGTATTTGTGGTTTTGCCTTGACTTATAAATAATTTAAAGATTATTTGAAAATTCATAATCAAGCCACTAACGATTTTATCATTTCGGACAGCAGGTAGTGGGCGTATGTTACCTTGTCTTGCAAGCTGTCTTTGATTTACAGGGTTTCTCTTATTTCGATTATTAATCGTTTATTGATGGACAGTCTGTCATCGATAATCAATCTCAAGGCTTAACAGGTTTTTACTGTGATTTCCTGAACACTTCAACAGTTCTAGTAGACAAATCAAATTTTGTAAATCTTCAATTAGAACAGATAGTCTTGCAATGAAGAATTCATTCAGACAGATTCCTTGATTTTGGCCTTT